CCCCACAGCTCCCCACCCCTATTTCAAGATACGCAACTACTACAAAAAGTTCATGATGCATTGATTACCCAGCCAAGAGCAGTACACAACATTTCCAAATAAATGTTATGTAGAGAATTCAATACTACCAAGTTTGTCAACATGTAAATTGATTTAGCATACTATCCAAAAGTATTGGACATATCATTCAAGAACTTTACGCAAACTATTCCACAGCGTTGGGGAAACTCTTCTGATTGGAAAGTTTTCCAAGAAAAAAAAAATTATAGAACTTAAAAATATAGAAATGCTACACTATAACAGAAAAGAGAAATCAGTAATGTCTACCCTACTGATTTATTTTTTAGTTCTTCTTAGATTAGTGTAATATGATTACTTGAAAGACATAAAAAAAAATGGAATGTATATAAAAAAATTATATTAATTATATTATTATTAAAAATTATTATATTAAATGGGCAAATCACAGGTATTTTTTCTCTTGATAGTGTGGAAAGAGCTGTATCCTATGATACATTTCATAGGACAAGACCAGTGTCGAATAACATCAACACCAGAACAGCATTAACCTTGTGCTGTGGAGACATGCATATGGGCTACCAAATAAAAAATCACATCAAACAATTATTATAAATTTGGTTACTTATCAAACTTGAATAAATATTATCATCAAAATATGTCATTATTAAACAAATCTTTCAATTAAATATCAAAAACAATCAATCAATTACAGAATTAGCAAAACACATACCATCAATCCTTGATTAAGTGTTATGGCGCTTATAACATTTTTGACGCTTCAGTGCGGTGCTTATTTTATTACAAAAGATATTTGTGTAGCACTTTCTAAGTCCGTTCCCATGTTACATACTATATCTCACGTATCCCATAGTTCAGTAGGCACTACATCATAGCAAATAAACATTTATAAAGATATGCTTGTGTTGTCATTGTGTTACATATTCATTTCAACACTGCATACATTGTATTTTAAACTCTGTTTCTCAAAGTGCAACATGGTAATATGTACTCTTGATTAAGCCCTTATTCAAAACAGAATAATCTTGAATAAATGTTGCAGTGCTTATTCGAGAGCTGCGCTTAGTGAAAACAATCATGTTTGGTGCAGCGCTTATTCGAGAGTGGCGCTTATTTATTTTGAGGATCTACGATAAAAATGTTAATAATTTTATTAAGAACTAATGAACCTTTTTAAATTGTGGCAAAGACAGGCCAAACCAGTCACTCGTCGCAAAAATCGTTTTTAATTATTATTACAGGGTTAAGCGGTGAAATGAGAGCTATAAAATGGTAAAACTATCATTTAAATCTGACATTTCCTTATAAACTTGCAAGGGTTTTAACATGTTTAAAGGACAATAGTTTAGAAATCAGTCTTAAAAGTTTATGGTTGCGGGCATTTCTAAGGCAGAAACCATCTCCACATTCTTAAAAAGTGTTGTTTCAGCATTGAAAATGGGGAAAATTAAAGCATAACATGATGTATAGCTATATAAAGGTCAGTTAAGCGCAATAAAATAGATGACTGGTTTGGTTTGTCTTTGCCACAATCGTCAATCGAAAACAGTTGACCAGTCAGAACAAGGCAAATAATATGGACAACTCCCACAAAGTATATGTACATTTATGCTGTCGATTTGTGGTACTTTAGAAACACTATCTAACGTGAAAAGCGAAGTTGAAAGGTCCATTGCACTTCTTTATAACTCTTACTTCTAATATTTCATTATTAAATCACACTGGCAGATCTCATTGGGATCTGTCTCACAGATCGATCTCACTGACAGACTTTACAAATGTCTCATAGTGATTTCACAGAGAAATCACACAGGTAGATCTCATTGAGATCTCTGTCTCACAGATCGATATCACTGACAGACTTCACAAATGTCTCATAGTGATATCACAGACAATTCACACAAGTAGATCTCACTGAGATCTCTGACTCACAGACAGATCTCTCTGACTCACAGACAGATCTCTCTGACAGACTTTACAAATGTCTCATAGTGACCTCAGACAAATCACAAAGGTAGATCTCATTGAGATCTCTGTCTCAAAGATAGATCTCACTGACAGACTTAACAAATGTCTCATAGTGATCTCACAGACAATCACACAGGTAGATCTCATTGAGATCTCTGTCACACAGATAGATCCCACTGACAGACTTTACAAATGTCTCATAGTGATCTCACAGACAATCACACAGGTAGATCTCATTGAGATCTCTGTCACACAGATAGATCTCACTGACAGACTTAACAAATGTCTCATAGTGATCTCACAGACAATCACACAGGTAGATCTCATTGAGATCTCTGTCACACAGATAGATCTCACTGACAGACTTTACAAATGTCTCATAGTGATCTCACAGACCAATCACACAGGTAGATCTCATTGAGATCTCTGTCTCACAGATAGATCTCACCAACAGATATTATATAGGTTAGATCACACAGAAAATCATACAGGTGGTTAACAGATAGATCCTGGTCTTACAGACATACCTCAATGAGAGACCACACAGATGCATCTCATAGATGGATCTCACAGAAAGATCTCTGTCTTATAGATAAATCTCATTCAAAAATATTGCAGACATCATATGTAGATGTCACAAAGAAATTGTATGGTAGCCTCAAAAATAGGGCTCATAAGTAGATCTCAAAGAGAGGTCATTATCTCACAGTTCTGAATGAGAAATCTCCAAGGTGAGTGTAATATATAGCTTTCATGGAGAAACCTCAAAGCGAGATCTGTCTCACAGATCTCAATAAAAGTACCCATAGATAAGTCTCATAGAGATTAATACAGAGAAATCTCACAAGATCTCAGATATATTTGACAGGCACATCTCACAACAGATCCAAATATTATAAAAGGAATGCATTATACCAACTTCATAAAAAATATATAAAAAAATGCATCAAATACAAAAATAAACTTCCAAGGCACTTGTAGTATTAAAGAACAGTAACGTTGACATGGTTACTGCAAAGTGACAATCACATTATTTACTGCCTGCTAAAAATAACTTCCTGTAGATTTTTGATAGCAGACAATATTTCTCTGTGCTCCATGTTCATGAGACAAATGGTGTTTGCCTCTTTCAGGAGTTTGCTTCAAAAACAGATACTTCTGCTGGTTTCAACTTAAAATATTCTGATGTAGAGCCAACCAAGAGGTATATATTTCTGTCTATTGTAAACCTGAAATAAAATAAAGAAAACTAATGAATACCTGGAAAGATTTATCAAACCTCAACTTCACGGGGAAGGGGGTGGGAATGGTAGATGGAATGGCATCCTTAAGAGATTGACATTTGTAGGGTAAAGCAGTGTTCTTTTTTGTGCACATGTGTATGTGCATTATGCACACACACACACTATATAAGAACAAATGATATCATAATCACAATAAATATTTGGAATCTGAGAAGAGGCAGACGTACCTGACAATTCCATTGTGGATGTTCCTCACCGTTGTATCCCTGTGCACATACAGGTGAAAACATTTGCATAATTTTTTTAGGGCTTTGCCTTCAGAATCAGCTTCATAAAATATGGAAAACACATTCCTTAAATAGAAAAGTCATTAAGCAATTGTAAGTAAAATCGTAATAATATATTCAAAAACACATCACATTAACAATAGCAATAACAGAAGAAATTAAGAGATGTGCGTCTTTGACTACTGCAGTTTTATGCAGTACAGTATGCAATACCAGGTCAGTGCGAGTGAGTTATAGGAGCTGTATCAGTGGTGGTTCCTAACTGGCCCGGGCCCTCGCCCACTACTACATTTTTCACAATAATAACAAAAAATGGAGAAAAAAAAGAAAATTATATTCAAACTTAAGTGTGGGAATGCCATTTCCGGATATCTTAGAGGTGCCATAATCATAAATTTTCTTATTCTCGACCCTTTGTCTGTGATAGTCCGTCTCTGTGCTCCCTATATTCTTGGACCCGCCACTGTCTATAATATATAGGTAGTCCAAGATTTGCAGGTGTTCAGGAGTTGTTTTGATTTACAGTACATAGGTATATTATAAATGATAGGCATGGAAATGGTATTGTTCAGGATTAAGCAAACATATTAAGTGATAACAATAGCAATGATTATACTAATGATATTAATAGTAATTGTAATATATTTATGCTTACTTTGAATCATCATCCTGGCCTATATTCATCATGTTTAAAGTAGTAGTGCCAGTTGTTATACACATCTCCAAAACTCCCTTGTCCACTGGTGAACTCATATGCAATAGGTTTTTCAGCTCCTCTTCATAAGCCGCTTTTACCAATTTCATTGCAAATGTTGGTTCCTGATTAGCATCTCTGCAATGGAGAGAATTTTAAAAAATCAATCAATTAATGTATTTATTAAGCAATTAGTATAGTTGCATATCATACACTAATGGAAATTATCATATGAAGGTTAAACTAATGCATGAAACTGTGCACTAATGAAAAAGTTTTTGGTGTACAGAATGTACAATGAATTGTTTTTATCACAAACTGGCCAGAAGGAATAGTCTGCATATTCTTCCTAGGCAAGATGCAATCATTTTACCTTAAAAAAGCAGGATACAGGGTTCGTACGTTTTTAAACAAGCAAATTTCCAGGACAATTCCAGGAAATTCAAGGTCAAATTTTCCAAATTTTCCAAGGACACAATATATAGCTTAACAGTAAAATATCGATTTTACGACTGATTATAAAACATATATGCAGTACTACTTTTAAATGCATGTTAGTTGAGTGTATATTAAGTTTTATCAAACTCTAATTCGGAGGCGATGGACCTGTCTCTTTTTCTCACGCTCGTGGGAAATTAAGTTTTTCTCACACGTGTAAAAAAGCAAAGGAATTAACACGAGTATGGGGAAGTACCAGTAAAGTAAGGCAGGGGTGATCGCCTACAGTGAAGTAGAATTCTCCCCTCGGCAACATAAACATGTGTGTACAACAATGGTCTTATCTTTGCTTAAACATGAGTTTCTTTTGTGGTACCAGCGCGCCAGAATAACTTGGTTCTTTTGTGGCGCCGCGGGGTGGGTTACCGCCTGTCCAGGGTTGTTGTTCAGCAAACAGCTGTGGCGAAGTTGACATGTATATACAGTAAAACAATATAGCCTTCGATGGTTGTAAGTTGCGGAGACTGCATCTCATTTCATATATATTTAGGAGTTTGTAAATAATAAATGTTGTATTAACGAATGATGTACTATATTATTAATTAATTTAATGGTTATGCTCTATTCTCAACACATCATTATACTAAACCGTATTATTTATTATTATTTGTTACTATTGGGCATAACATTATTATTAATATTTAGGTCTATTATTATTAGACCTTAGTTGTAGGCCTACAACTTTTATAATCTAATCTACAGCAAAATGTTAACGTACGGCACCAACCTACCGGCACTGATCTGCTGCCGACCAGCATTGTTTTTCAATGCTTTTGTAAACTTCAGAAACATAATTAACGAAATATCTTGCCCTGAATTCAAGAACTTCTAACAGTAAATGCCCTTTAAACACCATTCACTAAGAAAATAACTGTAGAAGTAAATGTTCCCATGGTTACTTTAATTGTTAATTAACTGCCTTGCGCTGGATAGGGCCAAAACATGGTCATTCGTGCTGAACAAGTGTGCATGTCTGGAGATTGATGAATTAACCAAAGCGAATTCACGGGGCTGAGCACGTGCGACAAGACCTGTTCAACTGATTGAAAGTTTAGTATTTCAGTACTGTACTGTTTATAACACAGGACAGAAAGCAAATTACACCATAGCAGATGTCAAAAAAGTTAACGATTATGATTATCAATGTCTGAATTAAAATTAAATGCAAACATAATAAATGTACAAGATCTAAAAAAAGCACCGCCTTTACTAAAACATAGGCGAACAACTCCATTCACTGATTCGCACAAGTTTGTCTGAACCAGCCAGTCGGCCATTTTCAGCCATGGCATTCTAAGGACGCGTACGAATCCTGAGGGTAGATTTTTTCAAAGGAGAATGTTACACAAGCTGTTAACATTGGATTAAGCTCACCAACTGTTGTATGCCCATATATAGTCATGATGTGCCTGTATATGGTCATGATGTGATGTCATTATGACCATATATAGGCATGTTTGAACAGGGCTTTAGATTTCACCAAACTGATGAGGTACCATGGTTAGTATGACCAAAAAAATCCAATTTAAACAGGCCTTACGAATTCAGTAAGAAGCTTGAAATTCTTTTTAGTAGTAAAAAAAAAAATCTATTTTTGTGCATTCTTTGAACTCAGGACTGTGCACTGGAATTGCAGGCTACTAACTCCACTTACTTTGTTGCAATTCTATCTTCATGGTATGCCTCTATTTCATGTTTATCCACATAGAAACCGTCCTGCAGCCGCTTGGTGAGTCTGGAGACATCAGGGCAGATCACCTCGCGCCCCTTCATAAGGTCACCTAGGAACCAGCCTTGCCACGTTGGCCGATTGCAACATGGACCCTCTTTATCTCGAATCTCCTTATCCCAAATAGGCCTTTGCAAAACCCAACTAGAAAAAAAAAATTACCAATGATATCTTTGATTTTATCATGAACATTATGTAGAGATTATATAAAAGTAACACTGAATAATGCCCTAACTAGCACTCAAGACTCAAAATTGGTAGATACCTTTCAAGAGTCCTGTGTTATAAAATAGCTCTGTAGATGCTTAGCTATTAGTAAAAATGCATTTTTCTAGATATAATTCCGAAACTGTGCTCTTTGCCTTTGTGCCCTCACCCCAATTTACAAATTCTACTGGCAGCTGACACGTTGCCATCTTTACTATAAACACAATATTGTTAAGTCCAAGAAAGTGTTTATAGTATGTAGTGTGTAATGTGCTATATACTTACACATATCCAATGAACAGTTCTGTTCTATAGAGTAGGCTTGGATCACTGGAAGTGCTGGCGAAGCCTGACATAAAAGAAGACACAAAAATATACATAAAGAAAGCAAGAAGGAGATTGATTCTGATAATGATGATGATGATGATGATAAGGCCAAAAAAAAAATGTTGTGTTGCCCTCTGCGACCGGCCAAAATTTTTCAAAAAATTGGGTCATCATTTTTCTTTTTTAAAATATTTTTTTGAAGTACAAATTTGAGAAATACCACTGCTAAAATTAACATTTATAACATAAAATCTAAAAGAGACATGTACAGTATTTTGATTTAAGGGCAACACAACATTTTTTTTTTGGCCAAATGATGATGATGATGGTAATGATGATGATTGTGATAATGAAAACTACTATGAAGATGGTGATGATGATACAAAAGATAATGATTATGACGATAATGATGATGATAAGATGACAATGGTGATGATGAAGATGATGATGATAATGATTTTGAGAAAAACTATAATGAAACGTCATAAGACAACGTTAAATATGAAAATCAAATCTCACCAAATTCATTCCAAGCTGAAACGGTAAATATCGACTTGTCTTCATCCATTAAGTGAAGTGTCTGAGAGTAGTATCGCAGTAGGTCCGGGCTCACCTCAATACGTTCCTCAATCATAATGAATTTATTTTTATTCTTGAAATAATTCAATGACATTGTAAGACGCATTGTTTTATGCATCATTCCTAGAAGAAAATGAGTATACAGTACTTCGATTCACATACAAAAAAATAAATCGTCAACAAATTTATTTGACATCCAGCAGTCTTCTACATTAATTACAGAATTGATAGTGTACAGTGGCATATTTTGGAGTCTTAAAATGGTTAGGGGAGGGAGGACTATTGGAGGGGGTGTGGCCAAGTGTGAACACCCCTACCCCCTAGATAGACCACTGATAGTATATTCTAGGAATTTGAACACATGACACTTAACCACAAATTCAAAGCTCCATGACAGAGTGATGAACAAGAAAAATGTATAATGTGGATATTGCTTTTGGGATATTTGAATGATGGTGAAAACAAATGGGTTATTAAGGTAGATATGGATGTATATAGCAGAAGAGTACAAATAGTGTGTATAGTATGGTAGCAATAGGTGTACGTATAGGTGTATAAATTGGTGTTTGAATGGGATAAGAATGGGTGTAGTAGAAATGGGTTTGTATATACAATATGAAAAGGTGTATAATACATTAAATATATGGTAGAAGTGAGATAGATGCACATAAGTTGAGCTTTTAATTGTCATTAGTGGCTCTTTGAGGCAACTGTTATTGAACCATACACTATGGCATTAAAAGATCTGTACAACCTTTTTATTTTACCTGCAAAAGTGGTTGCTGTTTTAACATGCTCAATTCTAAAATTATAAAGCTGAACTAAAGAAGTTGACTCTTCAAAACTTTCCTCTATAACAACCTGGAAATTAACAGCAACACATTTTTTAGAAACTACAGTAGCTTACACCAACCCATAAAAAACATGTTCATACAATCACAAAACAATATTTAATAAAAATGATAAAAAAAGATAAATCTGTTTTATTTTTAAGAGTATTTTATAATTGTGAACCAGAAATTGATTTTTGAAGCATGATTTGAAGTGACAAAAAGAGTGTTACAATTAATGACAGCAAATTCTAAAATCTGCCCACTTAATATTCAAAGGCCACTATCTGTGTATCCTTTTAAAAAAAAAAATAATATACTTACCACAACCATCTTATTGTTTAATCCTGGAATCTTAAGAACAGAATCCATTGTTCGCTGGAGGTCAGAGAGATCAGGACCTTTAAATAAAGAAATGTTTATGTCGTGATCCTATACATACAATGAAAAATCGGAGCATGCAACATTGATTAATTGAGTTTCCTTCTAGTACACTTCCATGTTGAGTTCATTTTTTTACCAAGTGTATTATTCATATCTTATTGTACTATAGGTGGTCCTCTTCAATATATTTAATATCACTATAGAACATGTCCGTAGTGGCCATTCGTAGCCTAATTATGCTTTTTGGGATAATTTGGACCTCGGTAGCATGTAGCATTTTTGCTACGTATAATTTCATAAAAACGTAGCATAATGTAGCATAGTTTAGAATTAATGTAGATTTTGTTTCATATAGAAAACTAAGTTGCCATTTCAGAGCATCTAGAGGTATATACCTGTACCTATTCCAGAAAGCCTACTTGGTAAGGGGTCATGGCAGCGAACGTGTAAAATAAACTTTTAGCCAAAAAATGCTGTTTTGAAAGGCATATTTACTGCATACCCCACTGTAAGTACCAAAATATTTTTTAATTCCAGGGCAGTCGTGTATATATCCACTATTTGAGCGCAGCATTCTGTAGCATAATTTTACTCCACCCAATGTCATAATTTAATTTTATTGGCCACGCTGAACATACCTGATACTATGATGATTGGCGTACTGTAAGCTAGGTTACTCTTTAAGGATGCATCATCAAGGGCAACAGGTAGCAATGGAACTTCTAAGTTTTCTGAAATGGAAGAGTTTTAAAAACCAACAGAGTTATTTTGACCAGTTGAATGGTCAAGTGGTTAAGGGTGGGGTGCAATAACCTATAGCCATAATATTAATGCTGATCACGCTTGCCTGTGGTCTGGTGGTTGAACAAATCTATAAACAAGAACTACAAAACGTAGGCCCAGTAAACACAATTGGTTCATGGCAACTATAAGGAACTTAGTATATCTTGCAATACAAGTCAGGGGTTAATCTGGTGTACTGGTCCATTTAGCCCCTGTTGCGGACAGGCAAGAATAGCTGGCACCAGCTAACCAGGTAGCTCAGCCACAAACTTATCCTTAGGGAAGAAGGAAGGTACTTTATGAGCTAGTCCATGCCTTGAGTGCTATGAGACTTCAGTATAAAGTGCTATAAAAATTTAACTACATTACACATTATTAAAATATTATGAAAAAATTATTATTGTCATTATTACTATTAATGTTATAGCAACAAGCATCATTACCATCACCATGGCAACACCACCACCACCAACACTACATAATAGAGTATAGGGAAGGCAAACTATAGGACATTAACTATTAGATTGTAATTGTGGACACCTGTACTCACCTTTACAGAATTCTCCATATCCATCATATTTCTTGCAAAAATCTATTTTTTTCTTACTTACACCAATCACATCATCGGTCTCTGTTTCCACCTTTTTCACTAGAAAACACAAAAATGTTCATAAAAAATAACAAAAAATGAAAACAAAGCAAAAATAATTAAGCAAAAAAAAACCCACTATATTTTTAATGACAATACTCACTCTTAACTGGAATGCATTCATGTATTTCGACCTTTGACCCCCATCCTCCATCATCGACCTCGCCTACAAGTTCATAAGGTGAATTCCCCTGTAACATCTTCTGACCAATGAAAGCCCACGATGAACGGAAGCCGAGAGAATTAATGTGCTTGCTACCGAGTGATCTTACAGCTGCCATTGTGTCAAAACTTAACCTGAGAACACAAAAGGTGATTTTGCAAAAGTCCAAGATTTGGATGGATGGATTTATTTGGTGTAAACAACTAGGATAACCCACGAAAGTCTGAAGATTTATCTCCAGTGGGGTCCTTCTGGTGGTGAATGGGCAGTACACCAAGAGACAATCCCCTATGGTACTCTTTTCTGAAGGGCATACTGTGTTCCTTAACATGCACATAGGACCTACGGCTTAAATAAGGTACGCTTTCATAACATGCCTTTCAGGCCTCCAGTTGAAATACAAGAAGAGCAGTAATGGAATTTGAACCTGGGACCAAAACATCTCCACTGTTCTGTGTACACACAGTGGCTACCACCAGTTTAGTTGACTCGTATAAGCAATTCATTAAATACTGTACATTAATACAATATGTTAAAACAATAAAACATTTTGAACATGGATAAAGATAAAGCAACATGATCAATACTTTATGATTCAATTAGATACAATGCATACATTACAACGTGCATGCATTTAACAAAACAATGTATCATCACACAATAAAAGTAAGTGTGGTAAGTAACAGTGTACAAAAGTTGCCAATGGTATCATTAAAATGAACTTACTTGTTTGTCGCTTCGTCATGAGTTGTTATAATGACAAAATGGTTCTCATCGACACTATTCAACAGTGCAGTTATACTCCGATCATCAGTATCTGAGAGGAAGTAATAACAATAATAATAAATAAATTCTTCTATAGTGCATTCTGCAAAAAAGCCTCAATGTGCTTTACATGAAAAACAAGCAGTTAATAATTTTGACTGAAACTACTGTACTTAAGCTATGAAAATATTTCTGAAATGCATGTGCTCTATTGGTATATGTATCCACAACAGGGCTCCACCCACCGATGTCGAAAACAACATCGCTGTCACACCCAGGTGCACATAGGCACTCAGGCAGGCAGTATGCTGGGCTCTGGTAGCTTCCACCTCGAATAATCCCTTGGCTCTACTATCATGCACTGCAAAAGACAACAACGTTGTCTCGAGTAAGATACAGATGGGGCCCAGTTCTGGACACCTGACAAATAATAGCACATCCATCAGCAATAAAAACCTCCCCATATGAAAAAATAAAAATGGGAAAACATATCATGCTTATTCTGCATTCTTAAATAGAAACGATTTTAGTAGGGTTTTGAAAGACTCAATAGAAACAGCTGATTTGATGTACTGAGCAAGACCATTCCACAATTTTGGGGTGGCATTTGCAAAGGAACGAGTGCCATATTTCATCAATACAATACAACTGAAGAATAAACATAGTTTTATTATCCTTCAGAAAGAACTATTGGCCATCTTACATGTGTCTTGCATGTGATTGCTTATGTGTTGCATGTGTCGCACATGTGTCCTTCATGTGATTGCATGTGTCTTACGTGTAATTGTATTGTGTATACATGTGATTGTATGCATCTTGTACATGACTGCATGTCTTGAATGAGATCATATGAGTCATGTATGTGATTGCCTATGTGTTGCATGTGTTGTGCATGTGATTACATGCATCTTGCATAAGATTGACATGTGAATGCACTTTTGTAAATATTATAAAGATAATATTGATGGTAACCAATGTTAATGATAAAAACATGACAGTGGAACAATTGTTACATTAGTCTTAAACCTATTCTTAATACAATAACATCCAATCAGAATTAAGAATTGGTTTAATTTACTGGTGTAATAATAGCCACTACCTAAAACTTACCAGACTCATAAGTATCAAATACAGTTGATGTCACTACCTTCTTAGTGTCTGGGTTAAAAACTACAACATTAAGTCCACGACCAGCTTTACCCGTTCCACCATCTTTGTAAATATATCTGCAAGAAAAGATTATTTAAGATAATTTAGACTATCATATTAAGAGACCTTTTTATATCTTGTTTAGAGAACCCGTCTGCCAATAATGATGATTTCAAATAAAAATACAATTTTACTTTTGGCTAATAAGCGCACCCACCGTCAAGGGAAAAAAAATTGAAATCTCCAAAAATAAGATATGTATACTTCTTCCTAATTATACAAACTTAAAGCATTTAACCATCCCATAAAATTTAACCAATAAAATTTTATTTTTATTTTCTCCTCCATCTGGATTTTTTGGCAAAACTATTCGCAAGATAAAGGAACAAAATTTTTAATTTCATTTTTTTCTGCCCTCCTCTGATGATTTTTTAAAAATAAGTTTGCGAATCAAGGTATAAAAAAAGTCTAGCTTAATCTCTGGCACGACCACTTCAGGTATCATCATCTCACGATGAGTTGCTAATGCTTTTGATTATCAAAAAGACAGATAAATAATGAACAAATAAACATAAATAAATAAATATGTCAAAGTTGTATCCTAATATAGAACTGTCAAGTCAAGGCCAGTACTTTACTTACGCCTTTCCCTCCACACATATTACTGGGAAATTCTTTGTTTTGCCATCAACCCAACTTGACTGCACGTGCACTGCAATGGTTTGTGGCTGGCAATCTTCTACTCCACATATACCCCCTGATTTTTCTGGCTTTTCCTTTAATTCATTTCCACCCTCTGCTGGCTCATCTTCTATTACTTCAGCTAATTCTGTAGCTTCTGATACTATTAAAATTTAAAGCATTTATTTACATTAAAAATATATAGAAATAAATAAAATACATAATTATATAGGATAACCTCCAAATAAAACCACTTTAGAAACTGGCATTTTCATTTTCTTTGCTCTGTAATTAAATAACGTATAACACTAAAAAATAAAGATAAAGGTAGGAGAATAACTTGCAGCATCATTGTGCTGAATTGCACATGACTACCTAGCAGCCGTAAAGAGGTGCTTCATGGCAGCTACATGTTCACATTATTCCACAACGACAGGGGCTGAAATGAACCATAACATCGGGGTAACCCCCTACTCTTGCGAAAGACTCAATGGTTTCTTTAAAGTGCACATAAGCCAGATGTATACACTGGACCTCCATTTTAAGTATTTATCCGAGAAGACTTGGTTCTACCAACTGATCATAAGCGAGAAGTAGCTGGAACCAGTGCTGGTGTTAAGGTTGTACCTAGCGCGGTGCCCCTGCCTTACCGCTCTTGATAAGAATCAAGAATGAGGATTTGAAAATAAATTAGATGGTTACATTGCATACTATTTGTTTCTTGCTTTATTCAAAATGTTTTGATTTTGGAAGCTGATTTCCACATTAGAAAGCATAGCCTACATGAAGTCATATAATAGTAACTCGATGCCTATTAAAATAAGTAATAAAAATTCGCCATAATTCATCAAATATCCGTGGCTTCCAGGGGGCTTTGCCTTAAATTGGTGGGGTCTTTCGCTAAAGGTATGTATTCATTCTTTTTAAATATTTTCAGCAATAATATTGTTTATTGTTTCAATTTGAGTGGATCCATTTGATTCGAAATAATTTAAATTATTTATGCAAAATTATAAATTACAATTATGCAACAAACACACAATAAGGATAAAAAAACTATTTGGGGAAACATTTTATAAATATTATAGTTTATTATATTAAAATGAATTATATGAATATTATAGTTTATTAATACTATAATGAATTATATAAATATTTTGTTTATTATATTAAATTAAAATCTCAATCTTACATGGTAGTATTGCACATCCTTTCAAAACAACTGTGTCTCCCCAATATTGTGTATTTTGTCGTTTGGTGACCTGGAGTAGAAACATAAAAAGTTATTAAAAAAGTTGAAGGGAAGGGTCTGATTTAAGAAAGACCTAGGTTGAATAATACCCCCTTTACACTGAAAGCAAAATTCCGGACATAACCCGGTATTTAATCTCCCGAGTTAAAATCTCCCGAGTTGTGCTTAGTGTAAACGTCAAAAATCCAACTCGGGTTGCCAAACATAGGATATGCCAAACAGCTTATCCCTTCATAAGATAAACATAAAGATAAGATACACTACATAAACTAAACCTCATTATGTGAATTAGGGAGTGGAGTTGTTTTGGTCCTGAGATCATGATCGTGACAGAGATTTCACCCAGGACCCTAGGATTGGAAGGCAAGCATCTTAACTACCCAGCTTTTCCACTCCACTCCCAAATAATAACTATGGGCTGGAGTATTTATACAGCTTTGGCAAAAAGGAATAAAACTGGAGCTTGTTTGCTAACCTTTTCATAATATCCCTTATGTTTGACTCCTTTCTGTCCAATGAAAGCCCAAGATCCCCTGTAGCCTAACTCTCCAATATATTTACTACCAAAGTCATCTCGCAATATATCTCTAGCGTGATCAGACAATAGTTTTGATGCTTCGTCATAGGTTGTAATAACAAGAACGTGGCCGGTCTTTACACCATCAAGGAACTGGACAAAATGGTCGCTGTCTGTGGAATAATGAAGAACAATTTTTTTGTATATCAAAATATACCTCAAATACTTAATTATTCCATTTATTATTCAAAAAATACTATTTCTTTACTAGTCCTAAAACTGGCAAATAAGAAATTAAAAAAAGCTAAACTTACTTTCAGCCCACAAATCAAAAATATCTTCTGAAATTATTTTTCCATTTTTTTCTGTCAACATAAAGAGAAATGTGTAATAAAATATTCAACAATGAAACAGCATGAGTAGCAATAATGAAATATTATTATGAAGGAACAAAGAAAAAAAATATCAACTGAAAAATTAATGACAGACATTATGACCATTGAATGAAAGGAAATCACGGAAGTGATAAGCATACGCAATGCTACCAAAGACGAAACAGTGTAACAGATGATAATGATAATGAGCTAAATGCAAATCAATTCCAAACAACATTTATTCCCTTCCTTTTTCTTTATAAAATATACAGTAACAACAAAAAAAATATATCATAGCTCAGCAGATTTCCCGTTGATTTATAATCAGGCGGGACTGGGGAGGGACAACTTGATTTCCTGCTTCACAACAAGACATCCATTCGTAGAAGCCTTACTGAGGAAAGCCTACCTACAATGGCCTAGATTGGCAAGAGACCTGCTAACCTTCAGCTTTGAATATAGGAAGATTGAAACAAATTAATACAATGTACACAGCGTTTCTAGGTTAAGATATATATTAAGTGTATGTATTATTATTAATAATAATAGTTTAGGCTATATTATTTGCTCAAAATTAAAATTAAAATCTTTTAGGTAATTATTAATAAGTTATATAAATTTAGTGTATAAATATAAAATGAAGAAATAGAATCGAGGAAGAATAGGAAAAATACTCAGAGCGGCTCAAATTGGTACCGAAAATTATATAATAAATTGAGAAAACAAATAAAAAAGGAAAAGACCTGACAGGAACAAATGATGAGACATATAATGCTAACAATCTTACTTCATTAGAAGTATATTTTTTAAATTATTATTCCAATCTTCTTAAATAAACTTAACTTACCATCAACAATGATAACATTCATTCCTCTACCGACCTTTTGTGATGTGCTGCAATATAGGTAATTTATACTGGATTACAAAAATGTCAGAATCAAATCCTGTTTAGGTAAGACATTTTTATATCTTGTTAAGCAAACCCATCACCCACCAATAATAATTATTTATTTAAGCTTTCTTTAACCAGGGGGTATCCATTCAGTGACAAGCACTGCTTTTCTAGGAAGCCCTGGTACATACAGTGAATATATCCACAAAAAAAAAAAAAAAAAAAAAAAAAAAAAAAATTTTTTTTACAATTATGAAATTCAAAAGTAACTAAAAGTAAATAAAAAACAAGATAGCCTAAAACTGAAAAGAAAGCAGACAAATAAAAACTACCAAACCAAAATAAAAAAGCTACAGTCTTAAACAGATAAAGGCCTCTTTTTTAAACATATTAATAGAAAGAGCATCAAAATTGTTACGAATGTTGTGAGAAAGATTGTTCCAAAGATGAGCTCCTTGTTTTTTTGAAAAAAATTATTTTTGGCCAATTAGTGCATAGCCCCCATCCCCCACGAAAAAAAAGTTATTTTTATTTTTACTACGCCCGCTGCTGCTTCGAAATCTACCAAAATAAGATATGTATATTTCTTCCTAATTACATATATATTTAAAGCATTTACCTATTCCATTACTACACTGTTTACAGTCACCAACAAAATGTTATTTTTTATTTTCTACACTAAACTTTAAATTGCAAACATGCACAGGCCTAGAGTGATTCACCATCATTAAATATAACATACTGAAAAATTATGCAAATTTAGTATTGATTACACTTACGATACTCCATTAAAACACATTGGTGATATGGTTTTTTTATCTTTGGTACCTCCGCTTGAAAGACTGAATGCATATTGACCTTTGACACATGGCTTTTTATTACCACATTTGGCTTCACTTTCATATTCTATTTTTTCTGTTTCTCTCTTCTCTTCCTTCACTAATAAGATAAAAGAATAATAATTTAAAAAAAACGTATGAGTACGTCTATCATACAAAATGTTAGTAGTCTAGTAAATATAATTATATTAAATAAATTATGTTACAAAACAGACATATACAAGGTCCCAGGTTCGACTTCCTGGTGAGTTTATTATTTTTTTCACACTCAAATATTCCTCTTCTTTGCTGTTCAAAATAATTGTTTTTATTGTAATTTGGAGTAATAAATTAAGAGTTGATAAATATTTTAACAAATGCATTGTTGTTCAGAGAGTTTTTGAGGGGCATTTTATTTAAGAAAGGCAATATTCTAGGAAGGTGTTTTTTTTTTTTCTTTTTGGTGTAAAATGGATATGTATACGTACTGTACATTAACACGGTATGTTTATTTCACTGGAAATAAACCAACATTATTGTCCAAAAGCTTATAAATCCCATGATAACAATTTTTAAAATTTATACTAGACCTACTACTAGGTGATATAATGCTGTTGTATCCATTAGTTATGTTCAATCATTGTGTGGAATTTATTCAGGGGAAAAATTTATGCCTCGGGGCATGTACATTATTCTAAATGAGGTTCAGGAGGGGTGTTTACTTAAGTAAGAAATGTATTCAAAGTGGGGCCTTTATTCAAATAAATATGAAAAAAGAATGTGAACCTAAAATTAATATAACATAAAAATTTTGAGGTTGTCCTTTAAAATTTTAATCACCTACAGCTCAACACCTTTTGAGTATATGTTGCCTTTGGCTACGATGATTATATAGGCAGTTATTGATGATACTAATAAAGCAGAACATAAGCCAACAGGTTTCTGCATGAATATATTAATAAACATTGATCTCCAGTTATGAAATCTAATGCATAAAATTGTTAAGAATTTTCCTGTGGGAGTGCAGTTTGAGCATGTTGGTAAGATTTTCAATTTGCAAAAGAATTTTGTGATTAGTAGGATGTGATGCTCCATTACTGTAGGTATTTATGCAGTGTTGTAATTTGCTTTAAATCCTATTTCAGTTGGACTACAATTAATGGTTCTTGCTTTTAGTGTTTAGGCAGGGGTTGACATAAAAATTGGTCGGAGGGCCAACATAAATTTTTGATTTAACACCCAGGGCTGCACCCAAACTTTTATATTAAAAATCAACATCAATTGCTTTATTTAAAAAATCACTCAAAACGCACTTATTAAAACAATAACATGAAGTGCCACTGATAATTACTTCGGTTTTTTAAATGGCGCTATATAAGTTCTTACCTTATTATTATTATTATTATTTCCAGTGTACTTCAAAGAACCTCCAAGCATCGCAGTATTACACCACTTTATTCCCAGTTTTAATATTACTTTTTACAGATGGTCGGTGTCGGGCCGTAAAGAACAAGGTGTTTTCTAGCCAATGTTGCTTAGAAGGGCTGCACACATAGGGTTTTTAATTCATTTTCGCGGGCCACAAAAAAATCGCTGTCTGGGAGAGGCAGTAGAAAGAGTGGACAATGAATACTATGAGTGAGTTTATACAGATACAACAATACCTACTACTCTATTGTCTATTTAAATTACTTTGTTGTACTTCTTTGATTGTTGTAAATAAATATCATTGATAATCTTTTTTTAGTATTCGCTATAATTATAAACAGTGACGGACTGTCAAGGCAAGCAAGGTATGCAGTGCATACCCTGACTAAAACAAATAAAGAAAAATATATATTAGTAAAGTTTCTCCATTTTATTTATCATTTCATAGTCAGAATCTTCTATATAAACCTAAATCTTTCGAGTGGAATGCTACAATTCATTGGGAATAGCAAATATTTTCAATGTTTGGCCGACTTTTTTGTTATCTAGGATAAGTCACATTCGGGCCTATTGCATCATACTCTTAGCTGCTTACAATTTCCGCATGGCTGGTTTCCAATATCAGCCAATCACGTATTCAGTGAGTCAATGGGGGTCGGAGCATACCCTACAACGCTTATTTGTTAAAATACAGGAATAAGAATTCTTTTGAAGAGAAGACAACCATGCTGCTATTAAAAATAACATACATTGTATTTTGACTATAGAACGCAATCTGACTCTGTATAGTAGTAGGCTTACTAACTTTTCCCACTACTAGCAGGCCCTAGCATCAGTGGCGTCTAGGGGCCTTGAAATGGAAGGGAGCTGATGGGGGCAGGGAGGTAAAGTGGGGGATCGGTGATCAGGTGAAGGGGGCTAACTTGCAAAGTTAAGTTAGACATTTAAAATTAAATTCAATTAAAGTTGGTGTCAAAATAAATAAATACTTATCCTTTCGTCAGGAGTCACTGCACCTTGGAATAGCATGCTAGATAGATGATGCATTATAAATGCTGTTTTATTATTTATTATTTCATTACAATCAGCAGCTGTTGTTTTCCAAGCCAAATTAAATTAACTGTTCTATAAGTTTTACTTGTAATTAGGGCACTTGTATGTTTATTGATTTTTGTTTTTCGTTTTACTTTACTGGTTTTTTTAATGGTTGGGAGACAGCAAAAATGATATGGTTTATTAATTTGCTTCCTTCTTTCTCTGCCCCATTAACTTATCCTTGTGTATTAATTGTGATGTTTATGGTATGTTAAGTTCATGTTTTAAAAAAAAATTATATTTTTATTTGAATTGATACTGATAAATAACATTTATCCGTGAAGGTAAATATATCATCTGATGATGAATATTTGAAATTGAGGAACATTAATAAGAACCAGAGTTAGTGAAAATATTCAATTGATATTAAAATAAATATAACAATAGATGTCAATGATGATGCAAACAGTATTTTATTGATTATGGTAGTTATTACAGTTCGGTAGCATTTGTACAGTGTTCAATACAAACACACATATTGACTTTCTTTTAAGAACTCTGCCGATAGCTCCTGTCTAATAAAACAGGAAACAAAACGGAATTAACATGCATGGTTGGTTTAATACCAAAAACAATTATTTATTAATGTTCATTAATTTGGCAGTAGCTCCTTAAAAATACATTAACAAGTAGTAAGCTGATTTAAAGTAAAATAAAAAACCACATTATTCAAAATGCAATTACTTTACTTCTACATAAGTCATAAAAAATATGAATTATGAACTAAGCTTATATATCCATGTAACAGATGAAAAGGTGTTATTTTCATGTTACAGAAAACAGTAGACAATAATACTGAATGTTATGCTTGAGTTAAAAATCATGATTTTAAATTTACAAAGATACCTAAAAATAAAAAAAATTAGAATGTACTTACCTATAATAGAGTCAATTGGTTCCTTGTTTTTAGAAAGCTCATCCGATGAGTTGGTGTCAAAAGGTAACTCCAGCACATATTTATAAATATAGAAAATGCAAAATGCAAAAAGTCCTAGATAAATGGTATTCTGTAAAGCTGTGAATGTAGAAAAGAAAACACTTTTGTTATTTTATTATTAAGAAATTGTCAGAAATGAAGAGCATTACCATATTATTATTATTATTATTATTATTATGTAATGCTTATGTTGTAATTGGTTAGGATGTACTGCATAGTCTCATACTGTACCAAGCAGCAAAATATATGCAGTGGAGTTGAATAGCTTAGTGGTTAAGATTTCAAATTCAAGGGTCCTGGGTCCAATTCCTGTCACGGAACACGGTTTTTTTCTCATGACCAAACTAACTCCACCCCCTAAGCATCATAATAATTGTCTTTGTTTTCCTTGTGAAAAAATCACTTAGGAAAGTGAATAAGTTTGCTGTTTGGCATATTCTTGGCAAAGGGCCTAAAACAATTAAAATAGAGATTAGCCCAGACACAAGTTCTAAAGTGAAAAAGCTGCTTTTTAGGAAAGTGATCATTTGAAAAAAGACTGCAAAAAAGAATGCATGTGTAAAGACCAATTTCAAAACTGGCATCATAACTTTTGTAAAATATACTTTTTGACTTACTAAAATTTCTTTTCAGTCGCCTCAAACTAACCATGGCTGCTGCCTGAATTTATAGACTTCTTCTTTCAGCAATTCACCTGTAAATTATAATATCCAATTACGACAAATAAAAAATAACATAAAATCCTCTAATTATATGAGTGTGATTTGGTATAAGGTAGGCCTATTTTCATTAACCAGATAGCCATGTATTTCTTATTAAAATATATTGTGGCAAAATCTAGAGAACTGCTAAAAAGAAACTCAAATAAAACATTGAAATGCTCATAAAATTTTTGGAATAAATATTTTTCAACCGGTCTTAGAAAATGGGAAAGAAAAGGGGAATAAAAAAAAATATTTATATAAAAACACATCCAACCCATGAAACTGTGCAGGGGCTGCGGATATACTGTAGATCCGACAACCTTATGTAAATTTATGCTAGAACTGGCTTGACCCTAACCCTAAATTTCAGTTATCTTAATGTACTACGGAATGTTGGAAGAGTATCCAGTGTTTTTATGTAGTTTTAGGCTGCGTCTACACACTACTACTACAACTATGATGCTTTTCCACTGTTTGTCGGCATTTTGCGCTAACACCTTCGCACAGTGATCTTCATCGCCTTCTGTCGACTGAGCTTACTATACCACATTTTATGGGTGTGAAAAAGACATATGAAGCCTTGACAACTTCTCCAGACAGGAATACACTACATGACTATGCACACAAGCTACAAAAAGCTTTCAACACGAGATCACGGTTTCTAGTCAAAACGGCAATGACCAAAACGGCAATAAACCAAAACACTTTTTTACCAGAACGGCAATGGACCGAAATTGCATAAAGTCAAAACAGCAATAAACAAAAACTTCCCGGGTCTTAATTAAAAACCACTTGTCAGTCAGTCAAATTCATCCATATTTGGCCAAAATGTTAATTACTTATCTATCTAAATGTATTTTTAATCATTAGAAAAGTATATTCACTGTTCGACTAAAAAAGTGGATTTTATTCAGGTATAAACTTCAGACGTCAGCTACATTGTAAACACACAATGGACGAACGCAAAACAAATGTGTGACTTTCTTTAACCTTTAATCTGCATATTAAGGCCTGACATCATCAATATCCAATCAGAAACGGGTTTTTAAAGATTTTTTTTTTAACCCAACACCATGACAGGCAGTGCAAACCCACTGTGTGAACGCGTGACCAAAACATTGAAGTGTGGCGTCACGGTTTTAACGTACCTAGAGTCTATTACTATTATTAGTAGTACTTGTAGTGAGGCCCCTCGCAGGGTTAATGTAGCCCAACCATTGAGGCACTACGACTTTCGGGTCAGCGCATTTGCATATTACCAATACACGTGCAACACCCGGCATATCCGAGGCTCTCGGGAAGATAGAGCACTTCAAGTCCAGAGCTCGAGGGTCGGGGTTTTTCCAAAATGATTGACTCAGTGTCAAATCTAGTTTTCAGTAAGAACCTTGAAGCCTCCACCACTAAAAGTGGTATATACTGATCAACTCCACCATCGCCCACCTTGTTGATATGTATTATACTATAGCATGGTGTGGAAGTCCTAGAAATTTAGCCTAGACCTCACTGCGGTACAACCCCTCTCTAATTACTAGCCTAGCCTAGGTGACTACTCTATCTCTCTAAATAAAGGCCTAGCCTAGATTAGGCCGCAGGGCGCCTGTCTGTAGCGTCTTTCTTGGCCTAGCCCTAGCTAGGCCACACCACCTCCTATCTACTGTACGTAGCCGCTAGGCCTGGCACTGGTCGGGCTAGACCTAGGCCTAGTTAAACCCTAAAGATTGCCGCTCGAAATAAATCTGTTATTACTATTACGTAAATGAAATAAACTGCATTTACCGGATACTGAAAGCTTAAAAATGATAATATCCTATACCTTCTGCAACAACCCATTCGTGGCAGAATCTCGATACGTTACGTAGAGAGAGAAGCAGCAAAAACGAGAGTACAAACAAATAAAAATAAATAAACGCCCTCTTTTATTATACATAACGTTAGCCGTGCATTACCATAACTTTACATAAATTGCCTTTCAATGACTGGATTTAAGACCACGGCTTAAGTATACTCTTTGGTATGAATACTAAACGTTATCGTGACGTCGTTGAGTTTTGACAACGTTGTCTGGGCGAAATATTTCGCAATCGACACATCGTGAGCAGCAACCAACAGGATCGGACGTGTAAGGCAGAGAAAGAGCTGTAGGTTTATCATCAATTACTTCTTTAGTGAGTGTGAGTTAGGGATTGTAACTCAGTATTTGTTGACTTAACTCATACTTGTGTACGTTTAAGAATTTAAAGGGCAGAATTTTAATCAGAAAACTCGTTGCGCTGTGAAATTTGTAGGTTGGTCCTACAGTACTAACTATAGACTAGAGTCCGTGTAAGACGTGCTGGTAGGCCTAGTCTCGTAAAATTCTACTGTTGTAGCAGTTTTATATCCGTGAAAATCCAGTTAGTTTTGAGAAAACGAGCACTAAATTCACAAAAATACTGTACTCTGGTAACTAATTCGTAGTTCTGCCGATTTTATCAAGCAATTTCATATTAAATGATTTACTTTTTGAATTTTAATATGGAAAGTGAATTAGCAACAACGGTGGAAATCCAAATTGAGGAGACAAAACCAAGATGTAAACGTAAGAAAACAAGACGTGGCCGAAAACGGAAACTTAATGTTTTATCCACTTCAGACGATACTGTAGGTTTAGCAACAACTCCAGTAAAAAGCAGAAAGCGAGAGCATCTTCCATGGAAACCAAATCTTCGCCCACAGACCATTGCAGCCCCCCGTTCAGATGATTTTGATCCAGTAGAGGAATGGTATCGTGTACCAAATTCTCCTTCTAGTCCTCTTCCACCACCTGTGACAGATTGTGAACCAATTTCTCCATCTGAATATTATCTTCAAATGTATGGTCCAGATGAAATTTCGTCATCAGATACATCACCGGAAAAGTGTCAAATTGAAGTCTTCACACAACCACTTTTTCAGCGATTAGGCCAAAGCCAATCGTTTCCTATCAATAGGCGGTTGAGTTCTGATGGCGAATCTTGTGGACATTCATCATCCACTTCAAAAAGTGATTGTGATTTGTCAGTGCTGGGAGCAACTTCAAGAAGTGTGAACATTGTTGAGAAGACATCAGCATTAAACTTTGACTTTGAAAATGAACAAGCTTTATTAGATGTTCTTCACTCAATGACAAAATCGCAACTGATACAGAAATATTTTGATTTGAAAAATAGACTGCATTCCTTGGAAAAGCAAAGTAAAGACTTGTGTGTGGCATAAACCTGGAAAGTTCCATTTGTCCTGTTAAGTGATGATTATCACCTAGTGACAAAAACTTATTCATTCTTCATATGAAAGAATAGAAATTATAAAATGGTATGAATGTTTCACATTTGATATCAGTTAGTGTACTTTATACATTAACACTTTTTTCTTGCATTTTTTACTATGTATTTTAATCATTTAAAATAAATTCTGTTTAGTAATTAATACCATTTTAGAGTTATTTGATGTTCCAGTAGAGTATTTAATTAGCTTATTATAACTTACAGTAACAGCTGTGCTGTAGAGCGGAAGTACGATATAAATAGAACAACAATATTGCATACTTGTCATCAGTTGTGTGTTGTTAATTAGCATTTTGAATTGTTGTAACTTCCGAGATTAATTGATCCGCCCACGCTCAATCCATAAATTGATCTGGGTTATTGATTGCCAGCTATCATTTTCTAATCTAGGTTAAACTAGAAGGCTTGATAGATTTTTTAAAAGCAGTATTATAACGGTAGCATTTCCTGAACGTAGTATAATATTGATTGGTGTGTTGCTGAACTTAAAAAATAATTTGAAATATAATGAGTTAAATTATAACTGCCATGATACACTGAATGCTTCATCTACAAGTATCAAACTTAAAGTTAATAATTAATTAGAATATCTATTATATCAAACTCTTTAAATAATCACTGATTGTGCCTTATTTTGATAATGCCTCCAGAATTGTTTGTAATTGCATAAAGTTAATAATTAATCAGGTTATCTATAGTGTATGTATGTGTGAACTTATGTATAAACTCTTAATTGTACCCTGTTTTGTAATTCATTACCTCCATATTTGTATGTAATTGCATACATCATTGCTATTTTTAGACTGATATGATTTTTATGGTAATTGAGTTGAAATATTTGTATTACGGATGTTTCTACTTGCTTCCTCAGATGGATTTCTATCCAAGGATGGTGTGGCACTTGCGGATGTCAGGGGTCGGATGACCAAGTGCGATTGACTGGCACCTTGCTGAGCAAACAGTCTGCTGTTACAGTCAGCCTTACACCAACAACCTACGGTGTAAGGTAATTCTCTCATGCATCCCTTTTAATTGAACCAAAGTATCAGCAACTAACAGTTAATTATGCTGTGTACTTTTAAGTATTCATGAATTTTCAGTATGCATGAATTTACCTCAAAATGTATGCTAAGAAGAATCATAAATGCTAAGCTATTCTAGACAATGTAATAAGTATTTCTAATGTAAATTATTCACAGCCACTGACTGTATTTGGGAAAATATGTTATGGTTTATTTAGGCAGAAAGGGTAGGGTGTTGTCTGGTTACACCTTCCAGATTCAGCCAATCACATAAGTAGTGTCATAACTAAACTAGGTCAAAGCTTGTTTGCTTTTTGTCACTCACAAAAGAGTTTAATACAATGACCAAGATTTTATCTTTTCATAGCGGGATCATGGGATCATCGAGGCGAAACGACCGTGGAGAACTGGGCGGAACGGAATGGCATTCCACTGAACCAAACTTTTGGACAAAAGGGTGTATTCCAATATACTTCAGAAATTGTCAATCGACATGGGTACAGTGATTTAGAGTATTTTGCTTCTTTATAAAAATATAAAGATTCAGGGGGTATTGTTAAAGAGAAGTGATTTTTTTTTCTTTGAACTTAATTATTTTTTTTATTACAGTATAGGCAGTTTTCACAAGCTTGTTGAACTAAAGTAGTAACTGTCCTGAGTTATAATTTTATGTAAAAGTTATAGTGTAGATTGTTCAGGTAAATACCTTATGAAGAAAAAATATATTGTTCAATGTTTTAAAGTGTTAGCATTTAATCAAGGTGCCAATAAAATACATTATTGTTTATACAATTTAAGTTGTTTCTCAATTGCCTATTTTTAATCACAATTATTTTTATCTCCTGTGTCAATAGTGTGTTGCTGTCAAAAAACAGTTGTATGCCTATTTATGGTAATGATGTGATGTCATGATGACCATATTTAGGCATGTCACATGTTTTTGTCAAATAAGATTTGATAGTCAGGACAGGGCTTTAGGAGATAAGGAATGGAATCAACTCACCTGGCTTATCTGCTGTAGAATTTTCTGATAAGGGACTACATAAATCTCCATATATGGTTAAAGCAAACAGGTCCCTTCACAATCAATAAATATGATCCACGACCCCGGTCATGTGACATAGGTGGTAAACATACAATGTGATCAGTGTGTGTAGAAATACAGGAAGAGGAAGTGTTATGGCAAAGAAAGCAGAATGCTCAAGTGTGTTTGTGTGCTCGTTCAATGGCGTCATAGACTGTTTACTAATCATATCACAATACATCATATGACTATTGTTGCTGATTTCTGATTTACAACATATACCACAACACTTGGAGGTATTACAGTATAATAACGATTTGCAAAACTTTGTCATAGTAACCATTAGATTAGATACTGTATTACATAAAGCATGGGAAAAAAGATAGTTTTTTTTAAGCCCCTGAGAGTGAAACTGCATTTAATAAAATATAAATATAGAATATGGCTCCTTAAATATTAAGTGAATTTCAAGATGCCTGGAAAGGAAGTAGAAGTCTGGTGGATTGAATTTATACAATCTCTCCATACAGATAATGATATCTCCATACAGTTGCTGTAAAACCTTGAATAGAAGCCCAATGGGCATCTCGAATTGATGCCCCTTTTTACAATAGTTTCCAAATGTATCCTAGAAAAGAAGCCCATGGGCTTCTTTCAAGACAGCATTGGCTTTTTTTTTTCGGGATAGTACTGTACATGAATTTCAAAGAAAAACTATAAATTAAAAACATGCTTAGTTTATACAGTAGTTTAGGTGATTGATGTTACAGTGGCCCTATTTGTTTTAAAATAGTAATTCCCAAAATTTATAGCATTGATTTTGAAAAGAAGTCACCTTTCTTTGCAAAAGTAGCCTCGAAAAGAAGCTAGAATCTTATAAACAGCATATTGTAAAAGTTAAAACCATGACTGAAACTGTCAGATAATTTTCAAAACAGCAAGCAGTGTAAGCGATTTTTGGTGTCCTAAATTGAATGTTAACATCGGTGATGGAGGGGTCTAAAACAAGGGGCTGCTTAGGGTTGGGTTTCTGTTTATACAAGCTCTCCATACAGATAATGATATCGCCATATTGTTGCACAAGTAGCATACATCAGATGCAGCTCTCAGTGCTTTCGTAAATCTGATGTCTGCCCTATAAATAGAATGTGGGCATTTTACAAGGAAGTAATTGAAATGGGATCTTGTAAACAGCATATTGTAAAACCATTATTTTGCTGGCAGATGATGACATAATTAATATTAAAAAATATTGAATCATGCATACATTTTATATTTGGAGTATGCATTAAACTATCTTATCTGAGCTTAATCAGTTAACCTTTCGGTTTTTGCTGGCTACACCCTTCAGTGTCAGGTGATACCCACAATACTGAGCAAGCAGTACAGTATAAACTACAGTATTTTTGGTGTCCAAAATTGCACATTATAATGCAGGTCAAAAATCAAGGGACTCTCTAGGGTTGAGCCTCAGTCCACGTGTGTTGGTGGAGGACTTCCTGTTGTGATTTTGCTTTCTACACCCTTCAGTCCTGAAAATGTTAGGTGATGCTCAAAACCGCAAGCAGTATAAGCTATTTTTGGTGTCCAAAATTTAATATATACAGTATTATAATTCACATTGGTGATGGGGTGGTCTAAAACCAAGGGGCTGCCTAGGGTTGGGCTTCTGTCTGAGTAAAACAAGTTTTGGTGAAGGATCTCAAGTTGAGTCAATGACATGGGTCTGTATTCCTGCTGGGTTTACCACAGATTCACCCATATGCCAGAGAATCACTCGAAATCAATGATTTCAGAGTTGGTTCAATAAAGCAGTATTGTAACCCCAACCAATGGAATAACACTGTACATGAGAATCCACCAGCTGCAGCCTAAAATTGATGGGATCATAAGAAATTAAAACTTGTTTATACGAGCCACAGCCATTAATAAAAATAAACAAAACGATAAGGCTGTATGGACAATATATTGGACAAGGAACTGGACTGGCAAAATTATCTACAAGAAGAAAATTCACAATCTTGAAATCTGGAGAGGGTACTTGCCTCTTCAAAAATATACAGTACTACAACACAACTATAATTGTTGTTATTACTAATATATTCTCTACTCACTAAGCATTAACAATTTTTGTAGACATCCATTTTCATGCTGGAAGTGGTGAGTTACTAGCTATTGGATGAGAAAAGTAAAAAGAACAATAAATAATAATCATTAAATGTACTGATACTTTGTGCAATTTAACTGCAGTTTTATTAAAATTCAAAATAAAAATTAACCTTAAACTTGCTATATAATACTTCTTAATGAAATTGAATACTGTACTTCTCAATATAACTAATCAAGACTAATGCTCTATTCACACTATCAAATCTTATGTGACAAATTTGTGTGATGTGCCCATATATGGGCATGATGATGTCATATTACACCCAAATATGGGCACATCATATAGTGCGGACAGAGCTTTCATTGTAAAAATAATCAACCTCTGAATAAACTCTAATTTTATATAATACAATAAATAATAGTTTATACAATATAATACAGAAAATACAATATACAGTATATAACAGAATAAATTTCCTTATATTTCTTTTATATAAAATATAACAGAAATTATTGTAAAAAACTTCAGTCAAAAACCAATATTCATTCAAAGTAGACAAGAGTAATTAATATTATGCAAATTGAAACAATTCTACGAAGTTTCAAACATATGCATATATTTTCTTTAAATAACATCTAACCAAACAAGAAAACCAATTTTAAATTACAATTATCAATATTCTTTTCAATTCAAAACTTCTTTTTAAAATGTCATACAATTGTAAAAATTGTGTTTTGTGTTTTAGTAACAATTGATTTGATTAGTAGAGCATGCATATATCAAAAACAATACCCCTACAGTATAAGCAAATCAAAATATTAACATTGAAATTGATTGAGAAAAGGAGCAACAACAAAAAATATTATCTCATTGTTTTAGTTTTGATAAGTGAGAATTTCTATATTCATATACAGTACATGTTTTTTATTGTTATACTTTTCTATATTCATATACAGTACATGTTTTTTATTGTTATACTGTAATTCATATGATTTTGTTGCATTGAGGAAATAAATAAATGTAAAATCGTAGACAGAATCTAAGTATGTAGAGGAAGTTAATTTTATTATTTGTAGGCATATGAGAATAGTAGCTGTCTTGTTAGTGAAACTGTGTCTAGTCTAAATATTAAATAAATTAACAACAAAAATATTTGTATGGTATGTGTAATAGAAACAATAAAATGCGACTTGCCTAATGAAGTGAAACACAATTCTTTGCAATTTTCTAGTTTTTTATATACATAAAGATTTGGACAATTTAAAGATATGATCTCCATATAAAATTATTGAACATAATATATCATCATTGTGTGATTGTATCACTTACAATGTATTAAACTATATTTTTTGAATTTATCATTATTTGTTTATGATATCACAAGAAATATCAAATAAAAATGAAAGAAAAAGAATACAATACATACATTTTCATGATTTGGTGGAATACATCTTTTGACTGAAAATGGCCCCGAAAATAGTTAGAGCATGATTAAGAGATTAATGATTGTTTACTACCTTTATTTTGTTTTTAAGCATTTTGACTAGATTAAAGATGTGTTCAGCAAAGTGCTCTCGGTCCAGCAGCCGTTGCGGTGAACATTCGACTCCTCCATGATATCTATGCACTCCCGGAAGCTCTCCACGACGACCTGACTTGCAGAAGCTGAAAATGTAATAAACAAAATGTGAATATTATTGGTGTAAGATATGTAAATACCAACGCAGTAAATAAGTATGATGATCATTTTATGAAGTCCTCCTACAGGAGGTATAAAATTAATGTTGATAATGACCTCATATAGTCATTATAGTCATTAAGGTAAAGGTAGTCCCGTATTCATTACTGAACATAGGGGAATACGCTGTTAGCTCACAGTACTAAGCCTCGTCATTGTGGGAATGGTTGGCGCAGCGGTTTGCATTTCGGTCTCATAACATCGAGGTCAGGGATTCGTATCTTTGCTGTGTATTTCGCTTGTGTTCTTGGAAAAGGCGCTTTACCTACGTTCTCCACCTGTCTCTCTCCACCCAGGAGTATAAATGGCTACCCAGTGGTTCACTACTTGGGAAGAAAAAAGGTGGAGTGGAAAGAAACTGGCCACACTACCACACAATGTCGAGGCTAATGTCCGTATTCTTAAATCGAACTTTAGTCAAACTTTGAACTTGAACTTCATTTAGTCTTAGTTGCAACTTCAACTTTGATTTGTATTCATAAACAACGTAGTCGAAGTTCTAATTATGACTAAATCAAGTCCTAGTTGTAGTTCAGACGGCTGGCAAGCAACAACTATCAAACCAACCAATAAAAAGAGCTAACATTAATAGCAAACAAGATTTTAGAGATCCGGTAACGTAGATAAATATTAAGCTGCCGTCTGTGGTTCAAAAACGTGTTTCCTCATAATTCATAATAGAACATCATTCGCTTAATTAATTTTCTATGATAATAACTATAATAGTTGTTAACATAGTACGATAGAGAATTTAAACAGTCACTGAAAATTTCCTTTCTTTGGCAGCGCCATTTTTGTTGTTATGTTGAAGCTACGTGACCACAACGAGAGGGGATTTCGTGCAAATCAGGAACTATCACATGTGGCTGGCAAAACATGTTGATTTCGCCTTTTGGAAGCTAAACTTGATGCCTTCTTTGTTTAACATACCAAAGATATATCAGACCTACATATACACTCGTTTTTATTCGTTTCACTTTATCGTGAGTTGCAAAAAGCATGTTTTTAGTGGGGTAAATATTTCAAGTCAGCGATTTAACCTGACCCTAGGCTGACTAAAAAAATTGGCCTGCAGAGGTATCATTTTAGTCGAGGTTCGCGTGATTTAGTCCTAGTGCTAGTTGAAGTTTGTTACGAAATGACGTAATTTTAAGATTTAGCTCAAACTACGACTAAAGTTCGTTTTAAGAATACCGTGGTTAGTACGATGGGCTCATTCCCCTACGTTCAGTAATGAATACGGGGCTACCTTTACCTTAATGACTATAATGACCATATGAGGAGATACAAAAAATAATTAATTTTTTATAAACTTGGTTCAGATTGAACTTAAATCTAGTTAACTGGATTACCATATCGCAGTTAACTAAACTAACCCTGATGTGAACCATTCAATAATTATATCAAGATGAGTGTATTACTACATTACTACTTTAGTCCAGTGAAGGCATTTAAAGATACTCCAGTTAATAAAAACTCAAAATGTTCTATCTAGTCACTTGGCTAGAATATGTTTTATTCTAGTCACTTGACTAGAATATGTTTTATTCTAGTCACTTGACTAGAATATGTTTTATTCTAGTCACTGACTAGAATATGTTTTATTCTAGTCACTTGACTAGAATATGTTTTATTCTAGTCACTTGACTAGAATATGTTTTATTCTAGTCACTTGACTAGAATATGTTTTATTCTAGTCACTTGGCTTGAACATGTTCCATTCTAGTCACTTGACTTGCTGTTAGTAATAATTGTACACACACCTGCAACCAATCAACCATTGAATGAAAATAAAACAGTATATTACCAAATTCATCCATTGATGGTGTATCCATGTGCATTGATGTGGGATGCCTGGTAGATACACTTCTCAAGTTTGAGAATGAACCTCTCACTGTAGCCAATCCCTGCAGGATCTGGGCAAGAAAAAAAAATTATATTTGGTGCACTTTTTCAGGTGTTTTTAAAAGAAAAAGAAGCGGCATATATCCATTCAGCTATAGATGAAATATTAGATAGTTAATTTTCATCTAATAATGCTGTAGGAAATGGAAGCATATTATAACAAAATATCTTAAATTGATGTCCTTGTGGCACCATTTCCATGCTAGATCAAAGACGCAATGTGTACAAACAGAAAACAAATGGGTCTTAGGCTATGACCTTAAGTTGCCAAGAAAATTTCGAAGTTATACAGAAGCCGATTCCACAGAAAGACAGAAACATTGTCGATAGGTTTGGTACAGTACTGAGAAACAAATAAGTTTTGAAAGAATTAACAGACACAGTGATCTATCTGGTAAGATGGTACATTCAAATAAAGAGCTTTATAAGGTAGCACAAGTAATTTGAAAATAGCACAATGCCTGATTGGTAACCAATGAAATTAATGCATGAGTCAAATTTACACAGAATGTTACACAGGTGGTCATAACCTGGATAAAGCTTGGTTCACCCTAGAGCAATTTAGACATTTTGATGAAAACATTAGCAACACTGCTTAATGCATTCTAGTGTGAACCTAGCCTAACACACTAGTAACCAATCACTGATGCCTATCCACCACTGCAGACTCACCATTGAGAACTGTTGGAGTGACGAGTGAACAGCTTTGAATGTCGGTCCCAACTGTGTAAGCTTCGGTGGCGTCTTGTTGCACCACTGCCTCATCTCGTTCTCGAAGGAGTACGAGAAACTGGTAATGAGTTGGGCAAGCTCGGACAGGATCAGTTTCATGATCTCGCTTACTGTGCTCATAACTTGATCATCATGCTTCGGGTAGTTGTACTAAACGAAAGAAGACAAGAATATCAGTTTTTAAAAAAGGGATACGTGCGACAGAGTGTAAACACTGTCATGCTGGTTACTCCCTATGGCCAGGTTTTCAAAATTCTAGATCCATCTAAAATTTGGCCAAAATAATTTAATCACTTTTCCGCACCACAACTTCTTTATTAAATATATCTATAGGTCCCAGATGATTGTGTCAGCAAGATAAATAGTTAAATATGTAAATAATTTTTTTTTTTAATTTACAAAATTCTTCACAACTACATCACTTTATTAGGCTTTGGTAGAGGAACTATGTTTGGTTTTGTTAAAGTTCTGAAGTATTATGCAAGGGATGAAACCATCTTAACCACCAAAAAAACACCCCACTCCATTACATAAAAATTGTAATCAAAAAGGAATTTACATTCTGTGTCAGGAGAAGTAGCTGAGAGTTGGCAGCCGATAGGTCCATGGCCAGTTGAGCTGCAACCGCTTGCAGCTTCTGTAAGTCTGGTGGGAGCGGCCTAGAGAAAATTTTAGTTACATAGTAAAGTTGATTTATATATCAATAACAGATGGTAGTGCCTTGTAATTTTTTAAAAATTAGAAATGATTAGGCTCTGAATCTATTCGTGCCTGAGTGGTTGGCTGAGAGGTATTGTTCCTCAGTCTTGTGCCAGTGACAAGTTTTAATTGGAGTCTGATAACCCTCATATTGAGAATTAGGCGGCTTAAAGAGAATGTTTGTATCCGTATGTGTACGTTATATGTTGTAGTTATTAAGTTAGGTGGCGCTGCACTGCTGCAGCCCAAATTTCGGACCTCCAAATAGAATGAGAACAAATATTATTATAAGATTATTAGCTGTGGAGTGGCTGCTAAGTAATTTCTGAATGCAATTTTCACTTGCTGTTGAATATTTCAAAAATTAAACAAGTAATTCACGTAAAATCTCACCTTTCTCCAGCAGCAAAGCCGTCAGCCTTGGCAGAGCTGTCAATCAATCGCATCAGATCTGGCGGCAACAGTTTCAACTTGGCATCGAACATGGCTGACAGGTTGTCCATCTTTGATATTGAATCCATCAGTTTGTTATCATTGTGGAGCTGCTCTTCCAGTGGCAAAGTCTCACTGCAATAATACATATTTTATAGTTATTACTTACTGGTTTACAAACTGGAAAGAATATATATTAATATATAAATGTTTATAAGAAGATACTGGACAACATTTGTCAACTAAATAATTTACAGGAAAGTTTACAGAAAAAAGCTAAGATAAATTAAAAAGTTAGTGTAACATTAAATATATATATACTATATTAAATTGAACTGAAAAAACTTGCATATATGTAATATTTAAATATTGGTCAACTTTTGTTAACTAAATTTACTGAAAATTTTACAGGAAAAATCTAAGGTAAATTAAGCTGTCTACACTATCAAATTTTGTGTGACAAAAAAGTGTGATATGCCCATATATGGGCATGATGACATCACACCATGACCATATATAGGCATAGCATTACTATATATGGGCTTGTCACATTTTTTTTGTCAAAGAAAATTTGATAGTGTGGATAGAGCTTTAGAGAGTACACAATGCACGAATTATTAAATTCAATGCCACAACATCATACCAGGTACAAATATATAGTTAGTTAGAGACACAGCATAAGTAAAATGTCATGCGAAAAGGCACAATCGACTTGCACAGCAAGGGTTCCCAAACCCCCCAATCTCAAGGTCGAGAGTTTGAGTCACAACTGTTGGCCAAACCGCTTCTTATATAAACAAGTTAAAGAAACAAATTTATAATGTGAGGGGGTGCCAGACTGGTACTCTTTTTATATTCTTCTATATATTTTGAAGATTGTCATGAGAATATTTCCGACCTGATAATGCCAGGACTGGCGAGTTCCTGTTTCCTGTGATCTTCCGATGCATCACTTATGCAAACAATATCCAGCAACTGATCCCAGAATGCATTCTGCCTCGCAGATGATGTGGCTCCCTGAAAAGAAAAAAAAAATTAATTGCAGCATCAAATCAAAGACATAGAGTTAATATCACTTTCATTATCTTATGCATCATTAATTTTCATCATTGTTATTATCTCTGGCAAGGCACTTTACGTTTGTCTCTCTCTAATCAGGATTATAAATGTGGTAGGATGTTGAGCATTGAATTTACTAGTTTTGTGCGCTGAATAAGTAGCGCATGACTAGGTATACTCCCCAGGGAGCAGAGAAGATATGCTATCGTGTGTTATCCAGTGACCAGGGTTAAAAACACTCAGCACCTTTGATTATTTGTTGAAATTGGCACTATATAAATATTTGGGTATTATTATTATTACCATCATTGTGCCACTGACACCACCTTATTGATTCATGGCTTGGGTTTAGTTAACCCGTCCTTCTGATGGGACATTAAGGCATCAATACCATACCTCTGGTGACCTGTGCCACATGGCATAAAGAGGATAGGTGAGGTGAGGTTTTACCATGGATGTGTACAAAAACTCAGTATGCTACAGTATTTAGATGTACAGATAAATTCATTTCTTCAAATATGACTCTGTTGTTTAAGAAAAGGATTGCATTACCACATTTAATAATGTAACTACACCAACCAGGAGCTGAAGTTTCTATTTATTTTTTGAGGGGTGCTCTCTTCTGGGAGAGAACAGGCATTTAGTCAGTTTATCCAGGTAAGTATTCACAAAGTAGACACCTCGTCTCCTGCTCTTAAATGTCTATGAACAGTCAAGAGATAGATGTTGAATAATACAGTACAACAACACTTACTCTGATCAGATCAATATCATCCACTCTACACAAACCTAAGGACGAAGTAACGAGCAGTATTCCTTTAAGAGAAAGAACAACACATAAAGAATTAGGAGTAAAATAGTAAATATGAGAACAAAAGAACAGCATGGACATCATCTCAATAAGAACTCAGCAATAATAAGCTGGATCACTGACCAAGCAATGATCTCGGGTTGGAACACTGTGGGGACAATACAGATTTTTAAAAAAATATACCAGCACATATTTAATACTAAATGAAGACTCATTATAATGCTTAAAAGGGAACTAGAAAGATTATATTTTTTTCTAGAGGGGATTTTTGATGTCATGAGTAATAGAATATTTTAAATTGTTATTACTATTTACCCCTTTAGCAGTGTGACGTCGGTGTAAAGCAGGTGTGGGCATAAAAATAGGCCGGAGGGCCAAAGTGAATTTCTGATTTAACACAGAGGGCAGCACCCAAACTTTGATGTTTCCAGTGCGCTTCCAAAAACTTTATTCCCAGTTTTAATATTACTTTTTACTATGATCGGTGTCGGGCTGTAAAAAACAAGGTGTTTTCTAGCCAATGTAGCTTGGCGGGCCGCACACACACATAGGGTTTTTAACTCTTTCTAGTTTCATTTTAAGCAATCACTTTAACCAACAAGCCGCAGCTTACTTTGAAGTCTTGAATCCATCTTGGTATCTGAGGGTCCATACTGGTTTTCCATAAGCTCTTGAAGCTTTGGGTCAAGTCTAATAATAAGAAAAATTTGACATTATTGTAGTGCTGTTGATTTAAAGTATTAATCTACTGTAAGAGAGTTGAAGTTCATTTTATGTAGATTAAAAAACAACTGGAATTGAGAGTGAATTAAGATCTAGTTTGGTACCCGTTTGAGCAAAAGAATCTTGTGTAAGTACAAAGTAAATTCAGCCGAGATATAGGCCTATTACTTAATAGCTATGCATGCATGTTCAGGCATACTGCACAGTAGATCTCACTTTTTGTTCATCAGAGGCGCTATTTGCATGGATTTGCGATTTTTTAGAAAAGAATAGCAGGATTGGATTGGATTGGATTGATTCGGGTTAAACACCAAGGTTAGCCCACGAAAGTCTAGAAGAAGACTTATTTCCAGTGGGGTCCTTCTGGTGGTGATTGGGCAGTACACCGGGAGACAATCCCCTACCCTTTTCCAAAGAGTGTACCTCGTTCTTTAATGTGAACATGAGTCATAATACACACAGGACCAACGGCCTAAATGTCTCATCTGAAAGACGGTGCGCTATTGTAACTTATTATTTCAGCCCTCTAGCTGAAACACAAGGAGAGGCAGAGATGGGAAGTGAACTGGGGACCTAAAACAAAAACAAATTCTTTTTTTGTGAAAAACTTTTTTCTCCCATGGCAAGTCTTAACCCTACCTAGCCCTGTATTTGTAGCACAGGCCTAGGCAAATTTCAGCCTAGTTTCACCACACTGAGATGCTGTGAAAATTTGAACTGTCTGAATTAAGAAGTAGTTTATCAATTATGAACTCTGTTTGAACGGAGGGGTACGTAATTGGGAGATGCTACTTTACTGTACATTTAATCATCATTCCTGATGATGACATAATTAATGTCGAAATATTGAATCCCAACACGATGGCGTGTATTTCAATACTTGGAGTATGTATTATACTTTTTTATTCATGCTTGTATTGTATATGAGGTGGAAATAAAGATCCTGATTTTGATTCTTTGTATTGCAATTCAGATGTTGAGTTGATGACCAACTGACTGTACCTTGCAAGAACCCACTGCAGTAGTCGAATTCTTGGTTCTCCGGGTTGAAATAACAGCTCACTAATCCATGAATCATCAACTTCCTCAATGTAAGGACAATCTAAACTCTAATCATTAACAAAAATCACCAATATAAATCTTAATTAAATGTACATACAGAGTAGGCCTCTAGACCTACATGTACAGTGACAGTGCAGTACACATATGCTTAGGTATAGCTATTGTATAATAGAGAACACTATAGTATTATTATTAATAAGTCTCCATCCAACCATTGCCATTTAATTACAAACATGGACATCAATGAAGGGAGTATACTTTAATTTATAGTATAATTATTACCCGTCCTTCATGGCAAGCCCAGCTGGGCCATAGTAGGCCAGGCCAATATATGCATTGCCGGATTCGCAAGGCCAACCTACCTAGAGGCCTTAGACCATGCCTAAGTAGAGTAGAGTATGGCCCGACCGAGCCAAGATCGAGCTAGGGTGATAGACTAGGCCTAGGTAGGCCTAGACTAGCCTAGGCTAGGCCTAGTCATACTTTCCTTTTGCCTCTCAGCAAACATACTTGTTTGAATTCTTGACATAAATATTTGGTATATTAAAATGAAGAAACATTTTAAAAACTATTATTTTCAATGTTTATTTATTGTTTTTGAAGAAAATGTTCATTTATTACCTCTAATCTTGCACGAAACGAATGGAAACTCTTCAAATTTGCCGCCATGTTTCTCAAATTCTCTATCAGTTGCGGATAGAGGGTACGAGTGCCCTACTCTTTGTGTGTGGTTGGTGGAAAGATCGGACCTTCAAGCTGTACGCGGTCTTATTCCAGTTTTTACCTTTTTTAAATTTGATTTCATCAAAGTCTAGCAGTGACCAAGTCACTCTTTACTGATTTAATAATACAACTTTTACCTGTATATAAATACATATAGATTGAACATACAAAATATTACCGGGAATATTACTAACATCAGACGATGGATGTTGCCTAGGCTAGTCCTAGTCGGTCCACCATCCATTACTTAGAACAAACTGTTAAGGTCAATAAAAAAGATGGCTGTAGCAAAGTTTAGTTACAGAGCCTGGGCACGTCGCTTTTTCGAAATAATTAAGTTTAATGGTGGTGTTATAAACTCTTTCACAAAGCTTGTGAGGTATTTATGATTTGTGTTTAATACTATGTTGTGTCTGTTCTGATTTTATAAATTTTGTCTAGGCCAGGCCCTCAGCCTGCCTAGTTTGGCCTGCCTCGAGTCACATATCCTCCTAGGTTCCTTAGGCTAGGTAGGCCTAGTAGTAGTAGTACAGTTCTACTTCTAGGCCTAGGCTAGGCTCGGTGGGTAACACATGAACATTGGGGAGAGATTAAGCCTATTCATTTTTTGTTGTCAATTCTATCTGATGTGTTTTTTGTTGTTTTTTTCTCAAACATTTTAGGTACTTGTGGGAATTTATAAATTGCGACAAACGGAGGGTTTTGCCAGAACCGGTCACAAATTTTAATATTTTAATGTGCCATTGATACATGTCATTAATTTATAAATAAAATTGTAAAATCTAAATTTTGAATAATTATTATTGTAAATTGAATTTTTATGTTTTACCTAATGTTAGTTTCTGTTTTTTGTTTATCTTGTTTTTGATATTTGAATTGACATTTTTTGTCTGTGTACGTCTGTTATAATGCAGACTGTGTCCTGGTCTTTGTGAATGTTATCTTTTGTATATTATATATTGAATATCAATAAAGAATGATCAAAATAATTAATGACATATTTTAAACAAAAAGTAATTTGTGAATTGAAGTTTAAAATGATTGTTTAAGCTGTTATACTGTTACTAGTAAATACTCTAATTTTTAATTATTAAAATAATTATGTTTGTCAATATTTAGCAAAATACAGTTGACCTACACATTATCAAACATCAATGACAATGAGTAACAGTTGTCCAATCAGGACTCAACAACACATTTTTGGCTACCGCATACATATGAGGCATGTCGTGGCAAAATGGTTAAGTTGTCGCACAGGCCAGTATTGAGTAAATGAGCTATAAAATATGGGAGCTCAAAAAATTGCCTAAAAATCCAAAATATTTTTTCACTATAGATCAACAGTTTAATGTCTTATTAATCATGTCCCAAAGTATTAGTTCTGGAAGTGATCAACAAATTGTTTATTTAATGTTACTT